CCCCCCCCCCCCTCACACACGAAATGAAACACAAGCAGGCAACCTGTTGAAGCTCGCGCCCGGAGATGAGACGAGCCCCATCCGCACGTTCTACCTGAGGCTGAAGGACGGGGACGAGGCGGAGGAATGGGCGCAGGCGATACGAGACACCCGGTTCAGGTTGGTCCGAGACGAGAGGGATGCTCTCCGAAGTGCCAAGATGAGCCTGTCAGACCAGGTGAGAAGAAAGAGTGTGGGTACTTTGTCTTCTCCGTGGTCGTCGTCGTCTTCTTCAGCGTCATCGTCGTCGTTTTGGTTGACGGATACTGATGGAGTTGCGTGCAACACTCGTGGCGTGCTGAGTGCGTAGATGCTTTATTTTGTGCTTGAAAGAGAGAGAAACATACAAACACAGAGACAGAGACGGAGGCAGAGAGCAGGAGCGACAGAGACAGAGACAGAGACAGAGACAGAGAGGCAGAGACTGATGTAGGCAGACAGGCAGACAGAGAGCAGGAGAAAGAAAGACTTGCAATCGGTTCAACGTCTTATTTTCGTACCTGCAGTGCTGCGTGGAGGGTTGCAACAAACACTTCGCCCCATGTTGCCCCAGCACAATTGCCTTTGTTTCGGAGCGGCGCAGCGGAGTCTTAACTTTTTCTATAGTGGTCTGTTGGTTTCGATTGGGATCATCATGACAGTACTCTCGAGCTGCCAACCCGCCGACGTCTGTTCACTAGCCCCCCACCCCCCCCTACGAATTCTCAACCACTCACCCTCTCTCCACCCCGGACGAACGCGCGTTTGTTCTTGTTCTTGTTCTTGTCCTTCCACACGGGTCAACGACACCGAACTGCTTACCGAACCACGCGAGAGCAGCTTGTCACCCACGAGGAGGCGATACACGAGTCTCTGGCCCTGCTCCGAGCCTCGCGGGGCAGGGAGTCCGCCGCCGTCTCCGAGCTGTCCCGGCGCGACGCGGAGGAGGAGCGGCGAGTGGAGCAGGTGCGGGCCCTGCTGGCGGCCTCCACCTCCTCTCCGCCGGCCCATTGCGACGGCGGCGACATGACCGACAATATTTTGGCCGACCCCCCGGGATGGGCAAGAAGTGGCCGAGAGAGGCCAAGAAGCTGCAGCAGTAGTTGCACCGGAGGTAGCGACAGCGAATCAAGTCGCGTCCGAGGCTGCACCTCGTCGTCGTCCTTGCCGGAACGAGCGAGGTCGGAGGCTTCCGCTGTTGCTCGGGGGATGGGGACTGGAGTCGGCGGGAGGGGATCTTCGGTTGCCGCGACTTCGCTGTCTGGGCTCGCCGCGCTGGAGGAAGTGATCGCGGAACGTGCGCAGGAAGTCGCTTCCCTGAAGGTGCGAGCCTCCCCGCGTTCTAGCGGCCGTCGTCGGTGGAGATACCTGAAAGTGGAGGTTACTCTTATCTTTGTTGCCGCTGTTTGTCGTGCATGGGCCTTTTAATTCTTGTCCCAACCGCCACCTATCTACGTCGTCTTGGTTGTGAGACCCGCTGTTCAAGGTGGTGCCGCAAGCGCTCGTTCTCACCTGCGTCTGTCGTGCCTCCCCCTCCTTCTCTTTTCCCCCCTTCCCCGTTGCCTGCCTGCGCCCACCTTATTGTGTCGTTTGTGGCGTCGTCTCTACGTCCATCATAACAACCGTCCCGAAAGATGGCGAACGAGGCCCTTCGAGAAAAGGAGGCCCTCGCAGACGACCGGCGTCGACGAGACGTGGCGGAGGCCCTCCGGCTACGGGACCAGGAGCGAGAGCGCGCGGAAGGCGAAGCCTCCTTGCGATCGGACCTCGAGGCCGAGCTGCAACGCCTCCGGGAGGAGCTCGCGGACTGCAGAGCCGGCAGAGAAGAAGCCAGGGTCAACCTTGGGGTGGTGGCGGCGGCTTGCCGAGAGGCGGAGGCGAAGTCGAGGGAGCTGCAGGAGCACCGGCGGGTGCTGGCGCGTGAGGTGAGAAGAAGACCGGGGGGTCGTGCATTGGCGTTGGTGTAAACCGCCGAAGCTAGATACTTTTGAATGTTCACACGTCCGACTAGTATGATACTGTACACGCACCAATGCGTCGATAGGTTTTGATCTGTTTGTAGCCGGGAGTCATGATCCTCTCTGTCTGTCTGTCTGTCTTGTCTTATTGTGTTCCCTACCGTTGATAAAGGCGTGCATGAGTTTCTTCTGAGGCGGGCGGGGCGTGCTCGTCATGAGCAGCCATCCCCGATTCGGACCCTTGTTTTGTTGGCCCCCGAAAGGGTTTCCTATCTTTCGATGAGAAGAAGCCCGACGAATCTTCTTCCTTTCGTTAATTTTTTTTTTCATATCTTCTTTTTGCTTAACATATCCAATCAACCCAAACCACCGAAACACATGGCCATCGTTCTAGGTGAAGGCCAGCAGGGCCGAGCAGCGGCGGTTGTCTGCCGCGCTGAGCTTTGCCACGACGGCGGCCGCTGCGGCTGCCGCCACGGTGGCGGCAGCGAAGGCGGAAGCGTCGGCGGCAAATGCCGCCGACGCTGCCGCCTCCGCCGCCGCGTCGTCCGGTAGCCGGGACCGGTCTTCATCGGCCGCCGAGGACTTACGGGAAGAGTTTGCAGGGCGTGGTGAAGTAGAGGAAGGAACGGGGTGCGTCGGCGGGGAAATCGGGCACGATTTTGAGAGACCACCCGGCGGTAACGCGTTGACGTTGCCGTCGCCCGAGGGACAGCTTGGAGAGGAACAGGGCGCGGCGCAGGCGGCGGTGGAGATGGCCGCTGAGACACCCGACGGCAGCGGGTCGGTGCAAAGCGGTGGCGACGGCGGCAGCGGGCGCGTTGCGCCCGATAGTCCGGAGGCCACGGAGGAAACACTGTCGGACATCGCGATGGCCCAAACCGCTCCGGTGGTGTGGGTTCGACCCTCGTCGCTGGACATTGCGGGAGTTAACTCGCGGCGGCAAGGACAGAGCCAGGAAAGCACAGGCGGGTCCGAGAGCGGCGCCACCTCTCCCGAGGAGGGGTCTCTCGTGTTTCCTGGTGCAACGGATGCTTGCGAAGGCGTCGGCGACGGCGGCGTTAGCGGAGGTAGCGGCGAAGGGGGGTCGGGATCACGACCGGATGGTGGCGGTTTCGACGGCGGTCCGCCTACCGTAGGGGATGAAGGACCTTCGCGCCGCCGCGACGAGGGGCGTTTCGCGGCGTCGAAGAGTCCGTCGCCGCCCGCCGCAGGGGGAGGCGTGGGCTTTGGCGAGGAGGGAGACGAAGAGCTGGAGGAGGAGACTTGTGCCGATGGTGGCGTAAAGGACGCAGGAGGCAAAAAGGGGGAGCAAGGAGAGGAAGGCGCGCGTGACCGGTCCTCGCCGTCGCCGCTGCCGCCGTCAACGTGCGGCGGCAAACACCCGCTGGGAACGGGAGTAGAGACCGGCGGCGGCGGCGGCGGCGGCGACCGTAGCTCCTCTCCCGCGGCGACGGCGGCGGCGACGGCGGAAGCGCTCGCCGCGGCCTTCGGCGAGTCGTCCTCGTTGCGGCTGAACCAAATGGTGGCGTCGCTGTCGGCGGGCCTTCGAGAGACCAGGAAGGCTCGCAGGAAGCCTCTCCTCGGGCAACTGGACGATGACGACGAAAGCGACGGTTGCGACGGCGGAGGGTTGAACGCGGGCCCCTCTCCGATCAGCCCGGACGAGGACGACGACGGCGGCGTCACCGACGGCACGGGGACGGACGGCGGGGACTCTCGCCACGACCCCACCGCAACCGCCGCAACAACAACGACTCGGAAAAACGGCGGCGGCGGCGGCAACGGGGCGTGGTCGGCGTGGTCCACGGTGGGAGGTGGTGGTGGTGGTGGTGGCACCGGCAGCAACGGCAGCCACCACGGACCACCGCCGCTGTCGCTCGCTAATGACGAGGAGGGGCGGCGGAGCGGCGGTGTTTCTTCGGCGATGACGGCGTCGATGACGGCATCGATGACGGCATCGATGGCAGCGGCCGGTGGTGGGTCTGCGGACGACGGCGGGGACGAGCGGTGTGGTCGCGACGTGCCGGAGGTGTTTGTGGGCGCGTTTGCGGGGGAATCGGCACCGAAAACACTATCAGGGGCGGTAGCTTCTGCTTCTGCTGCAAGTGAAGATCAAGGGGTAGTGGCTCCACTGCATGGACCGTCGTCTTCAACGGAGGTGGCAACTTCCACCGCTTTCGTTGCCGCGGAGGGCTCGGGTTCGAAGACGGCCGCCGCGCTGCTACGGAACCTCGGCAGGCCGGACGGGGAAGGCGGTGAGGGAATGGACGCACAAGAGGGGCCGCAGATTCGGGAGGACGACGAATCAGCTTCGTCGTCGTTGGCTTTGACGCAGCTGATTCGAGGCAAAAGCGGGGGCGGAGACGTGGATGAAGGTGGTGACGGTGCTGCTGCATCAGGATTGGTGGGAGTGGTGGCGGTGGTAGGGGAAGATACGCACGGAGGAGCAGGTGTCGGTGTGGGCGACAAGAGTGTTGGTGAAGCGGCAGTGGCCGTGGCATTGGCGGCGGCTGAACGGGGGGGTCGTCTGTCCGCGGAGGCGGCGGAGGCGGCGCGGCGGTGGGAGGCCAAGCTGAAAGGGTCGTTCGTTACGATGGCTAGCGAGGTGCGGTGGGGGATGGCTCCGCAGCGGTCGAAGGACGTGAAGTTTTTCAAGCCTTGAAGTTGAAGCCCTGCACTTTTGTTCCGTGTCCCTCCTTGGTGTCCTGGTCAACGTTTTCGTGTTTATTTGGCACACTTGTTGTTTGAGACCCAACATGTACATTCTTCGGCACGTAAGCTTGGTGTCATGCTGGGACGATTGGAGACCGGCCTTCAAACGCCCTCGGTGGGTTCGATGTTTTCTTCATCGTCGTTTTTTCTCTCGATTCGACCCGAGGGGGGGTTGACGGCGCTTTTTTGCCTGGGCACGCGAGAGAGCGAAGCTCGTGTGAGGAATTCTCGGATCACTTGGATCTTGCTTCCTTGACTGAGACTCGATGAGGCCAACCCTTTCACTAGTCCGGACGGGTGACTGTCGCGTCGCCGTTTACTTGGTTGACTATACTGTTGTCTTTTGTGCGGGATGACCATCGGTGGCTTCGTTTTTGTGGGCTCCCCTTGCTTCTCCTTGGTTTTTGGTGTTTGTTACATACAGACTACCTACCATCTGTCCGAGCATGGACGGCACTAACACTATCATTGTTGCTAGCACGTCACGTCGGTCGGGGTGTTGAATTGCGTAGCCATTCACCCTTGGCACGACGTATCGCGCTGTGGGAACAGCAGTAGAGGGCAAGAGGCTTCACAGCTTCTACACACCGCTAAACCTACATGTCCCGAATATCGTCCAAGAGGAACGAGTGTTTTCCGAGGGAAGAAACTGTGTGCCGGTCGCAGGTGATTTTTTTTCTGTGCGCTGGATTAAGCCGGTATTTGCGATTCGAGACTGAGCTCATGGCTCTCAGCTCCCCTCGCAAGCGCCTCTAGTCTCACATTACGGGCGCTACAGGCTGCCTATTTTCCTTGTCCCCCATGCTGCTGCTGTATCTGTCTTGTTTTCTCCAGAGGGAAACCCGGGCTGTCCCATATTCAGCATCCGTACATTGAAGTCTACACCACCACCTGCGATTCTCAACTTTTTCTCTGTTCGTAAACAACCAACTGAAGATACCTTCAAGAGATCGCTACTACAAGTAGTCTAGACTAGCCGGTCTACTTGCTGTGAGTGCCATCTGCACTGCTGTAGATAAAGCGAAATCAAGTGTCCACAACGCGATGGAATAATAGCGTTCGTGACCATGGCGAGACGTGTCCTACACCCTGGTGTGTGATTTGGTGTGCGATAGGATCATGTGCCGAGCATCCGAGGCAAAGGTCAGGTATCAGTATCCGATCTGGTTGTAAAGGATCCGAGGGAATCACGTGACACGGGAGGGTTGGGGTATGTGTGTGACGTATTGCGATGAATCCAGGGAACCCCGAAGAGCCAACTGACGCCTTCCGCGCTAGAGTGTGCAGCGGTCCAGTTGATGATGTTCCCCGAATACGAAAGCTCCAAAAAGTGTGTCAGGGTGCTTCGGTGGGGTGTAGGCCCAGTTCCGCGGGTTAAATTGAGTGCCCGACGTCGGGATGTTGAGGTTTCAGCCATTAGTAGTGTTTTATACTGCATAATGTAATAAAAAAACGGGGATGATGCTAAAGCGTCCCCCCCCTTTGGAAAAACGGCGATAAAAAGTGTTTTTATTGGGGCCATTTTTAAAGCGCGGTTTTTGGCCTATTTGATGCGTCCAACCGCGGAGATTGACCACAGGTATACCCTGTGACATATGGGACATTTATTTCATCCATGTGCTTGAAAATATTGTATGTGTAAATATTGGAAAAACACAGTCCATTTGGGCGACAAACCGTGAAAATATTTAGCCACCAACGCCGGCAAATATTGTTTTCTCCTGCTGGAGACCCTTGTTTGGTATCCCAAACCGCAAGGGAGACGACCTGCTGCTGCACATGAACACAGCAACATGCAACAAACAGCACACAGCAACAAAAACAGTACAAATATTGTTACAAAATTACCCAAAAAAACAAAAGAACATCGAAGAGAAAAAGGCGTCAATCAGAACATGACGCGCAACACGAACACCCCTCAATTCCCTAAACCACAAGAAGCTTGTGAAACCTCCTGATCCGGTAGGGAGACCACGTTGAAAAGTGGCCTCCTCCATCTTCCTCTGCCTCGGCGTAGGCTTTGAGGAAGTCGGCTGCGGCTTGGATATCGTGGATGCGCTGGCCCCTTTTCTCCGCTTCTCGCAGTAGAGCCTTCAGCAACCCTCCGATGCCATCGTGGGCGCCATCGAAGTGCGACGTGACCGCGAAGTTGTGGATGAGGATGGCACCAAGCCTCTGCAAGCTCTTGGCCACGGCGTGAAAGTTGCGCTTCCCCTTGTACTGTTTGGCGCACCCGTCGGTGAAGATGTGCACCGTTGGGATCGGGGTTCCAGCAGTAGCGGCCCGCCCATCCCCCGTGATGTAGACTAGTACTGAAGGATGATGTCCATGGCGTAGATGTGGAAGTCGAAGTCATGATTGGGATCACTCGATACAAAAACCCATGCGTCTGTCTCATGCCGGCCGTTGTCGTCAGGACTGTGGTGAACTAGGGCCACCATCATGGTCGTGGAGGGCGCAGTAGCGCACGTCAAGATAGCGCCAGCCTCGTGCTTGTACTTCTCGATAAAGTCGGTCTCCACCAACAGCTCGCCTTTGGAGAACGTCGCCAGGCACACGTTGTGGGCTTGGCGCTGCCACTTGGCTAGCTCATGGTGATGAAGATACTGAGAGGGAAGAAACGAACGGGGGGTAAGCGGGGGGCGGGAAAATATAGTTGTAAGTTGAAAGGAAAGAACGGTTGTACGTTGCGCGATTGATTGTGTTGATACACGATTGACTACACGCCTCCAGTTGATGACGCAATTCCACATGCGGTCCATTATTTCACACCTTCTTGGAGTGCTCCACAAACTCCTGCCACAGGTCACCCAGTTTTCCAGCCTGGGGTAGCCGCTGCTTCTTGTGCACCTTCCCATCCTCCATGACTTGATCCTTGTACCGAAGCCACCCGACTACTCTGTCCGCCATAGACCCCAGGGCATCGCAGTTCATGGGGATGCTGCCAGGGTTGCTAAACCCGCATTCGGAGCATTCAATCGCAACGTATGCGGGCTTCCTCCCCCAGTGCTCAAACCTACCCCCTCGGTCCTCTTCAACAAAGTCTACCATCTCGCAAGCCACAGCCTCAGAAAAGCTGTGCAGATCTTTACACATGGCCATCCACTTCCACACCCACTCCCCCCGTCGCACCACTTGCACGTGCAGTTGCAGTTGGCATGTATTGCAGGCATCAACATCTCGAAGGCCTTCAGGTACATCCCCTGCTGCGTGTGGATCTGGCATGCACACTGCGATACCTTGGGTTCCACTGTGACACACCAGAAGCGAACATTTGAAACGGACAGAAAGGAGGACCGCAGGTCAGCAACGAGGCCGTCCTGTGGGGCGGTAACACAGCAGAAGAGCGAATTACGTTGGAACGGTCATGACGCTGTTTCGTGAAAAAAAAAGGAGCTCTCCCCTCATGTCTACCCACCATAACACCCACACCGCGTCGAGAGGAACAGCGTCCGCCCAGGGTCCGCGAAGCTACTGTCTTCCCTCAGCAGCTCCGCTTTAAGCCCCAAGTACTCCAGCCACTTCATAAACTTGCGCCATACTTGGTCCCCCGCGACCACGAGCTGCCTACGGGGGTGATGCTTCTCCCCTCCCTTCTTGGAGGCCTCCACATAGCTTTCGTCCCTACAGGGGTGTACGAAAGAACAGCACTGTGCAGTGTAGCAGCAATAGTGAAACTATCTCAAGGGGTACAGAGAAGTGCAGTTGATACGTCACGGCGACAAAAAACGGCAACAAGGAGATACCCCGATCTACATTTGTACAACAACAAAATTTGAAAACGCTTTCCGGAGTCTCCCGACGCACGAGAAATATCGTCAGAGTGCCAGAACCTCCTCGCCAAACCCATGACACGTTCGTCCATCTTGTCGCTCCTCTCCTTGCGAGGAGCCCAGAGGTATCTCCCCTTCTCCAAATCTTCCTGTGGAGGTATGGTGTGGTCAGTCCTGTGCATACGGGCACGCGCTGCACGGAACGTTGGGTCTCTCACACCGAGACCCTATACTCGCGCGGCAAGGCTGACGGCACCATGCGGCTCAGCAGGTGCGCACGGCTCATCCGGGGTGCAAGGGTCATCAGGATCGCACGTGTGCTCCGCTCCAGCAGCTGCGGCAATGACGGTGTTGTAGGCAGCGCGGCCGATGTTGCTGAGGGAGTGCAGCTTCAGCGTCTCTATAGAGGCGACCAGTGCGCGAATGTTCTCCGCATCGACAGCAGCCTTCGTCGCCGCTGCCTCTTTTAAGTTCTCCGACATCCAGCACCTCCCTCAGCTCCTCCTTCAACACATCATCTTCTAACACGCTCTGCTTCACCCCGTCGCGGTGCTGGTCGATAGCCTGTTTGATTACGATAAAATTTGAAGCAATTTTTGACGAGAGAGGGGGGAAATGTGAGGATGGGACTCATTACTTTCGTGGGAAGATGGAGAGCAGGGGAAATATACCGGGAATACAGCAGAAGTCTACGTTATATGACACAAGATAACACACCCCCTGTACCGATTTTCAAAGCTCGATTACTCCACGACGAGGAGAATGCATACACGAAATGATACATTTTCGAAAAGCTCTCGACGAGACGGATTCAACGCCGCCGTTTTCGGCGCTGTGACTGTTCCTGCAGTTGAGAAATCGAGCTTCGAGAATCGGTCAAGGGGGTGTGTTATCTTGTGTCATATCCGGTAGCCTACAGGGAAATTAAAAGATTTGAAAAATACGCAAGATATCACCCTATCTCGTGCCGTAAACCGCTCTGGACTTACCGTTTGCCGTTGTCGTGGAGGAGTCGTCGCGGGTTGTGGGCTTCTCGTCTGTCCGTTGAAAAAAGCGCCTCAAGCGGATCCGAGCGAGCGAGACGTGCATCGACTCCTAAGCTTAGACCTCGTTCGGCAGCAGCAGCAGCCACCGCAGCAGCGGCAGCAGATCTGGTGGCGGCTCCTTCCGGTTTCTTCTCGCGACGTTTAGTAGCCCGTTCTTGAAGGTCATCAACATCCTCTCGAGCCATATGTATAACGCCCTCGAGGTCATCCACCACAGAGTCTATTGCCTTGGTAGCCGCAGCCTCAGCGCCCTTCCTCAGCAGCGTGGAGGTCAGGTGATAGCCCCTGGCGTGCGGGCGTTGATGACCCTCGCTTCTCCCGCAATTTTGATATCGCGCCTCAGCATGGTGGCAGCAGCCGCCACCGTCCAGGCGACGGGAAGGGAATGAGCAGTACCTTGTCGAGGTGGGGGCGGGAAATCCTGCAGTAAGTTCCTTTGTGGGTAATTCGACCAAGCGGAGTCGATTGGCGGGGTGAACGGGTCGCTCCGAGTTGATCTTCCCTGTGAATTGAATCCCGCCGCATTCATTTTCGTCCAAAAGTGGCGCGATTTTGTTTTTTGTTCGCCCTTGTTTATGGTTTCCAAATCTTCATCTTCCTTTGTTTCGACAATTGTTGACTTTTTCGACCTTTTGAGCAGTCTGCCTCCCGAACGAGTGCGAATCAGCTGTTCGACCTTTGAGAACAGTCAGAGATTTGGCTGAGATGTCTACAGATCGCCTACATGTTTCGCCAGGGTCCACGTTTGATTTTTTTCCAGCAGAGGAAGATGTTGAAGATTCGGCCGAAAGGCCACCTCGGAGCAAATCTTGGGCCAAGATCTGTCCAAAAGCTGGCGTTGAAAAAATCTTGCGTGGAAATTGCGCACCTTGAACAAATCAAACGTGGATCCTGGCGAAACATGTAGGCGATCTGTAGACCTCTCAGCCAAAGCTGTGACTGTTCTCAAAGGTCGAACAGCTGATTCGCACTCTTCTGGGGGGCAGACTGCCCACGAGGTCGTAAAAGCCAACATTTGTCGAAAGAAATTAAGATAAAGATTTGGAAACCATAAACAAGGGGCCTCACGCCGGAAATATTCTTCTGCCGGAAATGGACCTAGAACCAGATATTTTTTTTCCTACCGACGGAAACTCGACAAGGTACGGAGTTACACACTTGGGAGGAAGGAGCCAACTGCAACTTACACACACACCTTGAGCCTGTTGCAAATCATGAAGCTCTTCTCGACTACCACCGCCGTCCTTTGCCTCGCCTCGGCGGCCGATGGATTCGTCGTCGCTCCTCCGTCATCGAGGGCAAGCGTCGCTGCATCCGGTAGGCAGTGCACACGAATGGTGTCGCCTCTGCCCGCTGCTTCCGCTGGCGCATCATCGCTGACGACGGTGCTTCAGTCTTCCGTGGTGCCGTTGGTTGCTGCTGCTGGCGGGGTGGCGGAGCCGGGAACCGTCAATGCGCCGGGATGGGTTCTTCCGGCGGGAGCCGTCGCGGTGATCCTAACTGCGGGACTGATCCCCCTCCTGCTAAAGGTGGGTGAAGTATGCGTGTTGACGCAGACCTTGCGCAAAACGTCGCAACTCATGTTTTTCCTACTGCAACTACATACATATAGTATGCACACACACGTATACAATATACGACACAAGATAACACACCCCCTTGACCGATTCTCGAAGCTCGAATCCTAAACTGCAGGAACAGTCACAGCGCCGAAAACGGCGGCGTTGAAACCGCCTCGTTCATAGCTTTTCGAAAATGTATCGTTTCGTTTATGCATCCTCTTCGTCGTGGAGCAATCGAGCTTTGAAAATCCGTACAGGGGGTGCGTTATCTCATGTCATATGCGGTAACTTCGGTACAAGACGTGAAAGAGCAGCACATATTGGGCCGTTGACAGAGACGGTCCCTGTGCAACAGCAGTGGCAACCACGTTCCCTCTGGTAGGAGGGGAGAGATGACGGAGGGGAGAGATGACAGACTTTGTGCAAGGGCCTAGACTATTCTCTGTAGATCGACTACATACCTTTGACTGTTGCACAATTTTTGCACAAACTACGAAGTATTATGCATGTGCATGTGGGTACCGAAAAAGCCCGATACGCCAACTTGACGAGATGTTTGTCTCAAAAACCACCGTTTTTGGTGTTGGCTTGTGAGGCAACTCAAATTTGAAGAGTCTACACAAGATCGGCGATGTACCAGACTGTCTTGTTGAGCCTTACCCACAGGGGAGATATCGCCGTGTGGTGCTCGGGAAGCCGTAGAGAAACAGATAGTTTCCGCTGACGCTATGGATTCATTGCTAATCTATGTCAGACTCGTTTCTATGGATAGCGATGGGTTCGTGGTGATACAGTAAGAAAAAAAACAGAGATCGGTCCACAAGTACAGGGGGAGTGCCACCGTGCCATCTCCCCGGCTCTTGACGGTACATGAATGAATGCACGATTGCTGAACCCGCTCGACTGCCCAGGACCTAGGCTTGTGTCAGGGTTTCGATCGGCTGCTGCCAGACGGTTGCAAGGACAAACGCGTGACAGATATGTTGGCGTGTCCGGTAACGTACACGACCTGACTCAACTCCTCACCTGCTGTTATTTTCTCTCCTCGAGAACTGGCTCTCCCCCCCTGGAGTTAGTCAGAAGCCGAAAGTTAAGCCAAATATCATGCAATCCCGTACGTACACAAGGACAATGACAAGGCCAACACACACACGCGAGGAGGATGGCAGAAACCAGCAAACAATACGCGGAGCCAGTCATAACGCAATCGAGTGCTTTGTGGTAGGAACCCCGGCAAAAGGCTTCATCTGTTTCCGTTTCTGTCTTCAACCCCGGAGAATAACCTAGCCTCCCCCCTGATCCCCCCGTACTGAAACCTCAAATCAGGACCTTTAGAGGCTTTTTTATCGCCCTTGCAGATAACACAACAACCATCTCTGTCGACAGACGGAAGTCCGGCACAAAATGACCAATGAAGTCATGTCATTGTACCAACACCAAAAGCAATGTTTTCCGTTTCTTTCCGCACTGAAAGACTGACGCATTTTCATGGTCTAGGCGCGAGCGATGCTAGGAAAAGGAACCTTCGATATACCCTCGCACCTACGTCGTTTCGCGACCCCCCCCTGGTTTGATTTCACAGAACTGTCTCCAACTTCAATGGTGTTCTCGTGATTCGGTGCCTGCAGCAGCTGTACCTCGCTTGCAGGCCAGATGCTCCGAATACCTTGTGATGATGACGCCCCCTGTTTTTTTCGTGCGGTGAACCGTCGCTTGGTTTGTGCGACGGTGGTCCACACACACGCATCCGGCTACAGCCCGGGGACGACGCGGCTAGGGACATGCAGGAGAGGGACGAGGGTCTGTGGGAGCAAAACAAAAAGTGAGAGACAACGGGACAGAAGCAAGATCAAGAGTACAAGAAGAGTAGATACAATAGACACCTTGTTTCTTGTCTTTCTCTCTACCCGTTCTCTCTCCCAGTGGAGAATTTTTCTGTGCCTCAATAGCGAATAAAGAACGGGCCGGGTCGGGCGGAAGGCATGCCTTCGTGTTTTGAGCATTGCACAAACTTTATGCAACGATAGCCCGGGCGGGATGACGGTGACCCGAGATCGGAAGGGAACGAAAAAGACCGCGTTGCGGCGGGGGCAGGGGCATCGCTTTGGTGCTTCATTTCATTTAGCTGAGAGTACAATGTGCGCATGCCACGATTCTAGCTGAACCCTCGGCCTCGTCGTACGGAGTTGGGGGTGGAGAGATCACAGTTGTGGCGGGTGGGTGGAATATTCATGGCGGAAGAAGTTTTAGCTTTGGAGGGATCGGGCCGTCGCCTGGAGCAAATTCGCGCGCATGGTTGTCACGCATGGGTCGAGTTCCGTTAGCTTACCGAGAGAGAGCTGGTGTTGGTATCAAACCGCCGCCGCTCGCGGGGGGGAACGTGACCGACCCCTTTGGGCCTGTAATCCGAACGCCTGTATGTGATGTTTTCGTTCTGCATGGGTATGTATACTGATAGCACTGAGCACGCCCTTGTTCCACTGGTGTCAGTCTGAGCATGCAAGAAAGATTTTTCTACAACACCCCAGCCCTTGTAACGCATTCTGCTCCCCCTACCTGCGCGCTGCACGTTCTCCGCCCCCCTCCCCCCCCCCTGCACTGCCCGTTCTCTGCGCCCCCCCCCCCCCCCCCCGCGTTCTCTCATGTGTCTGGCACTGTCTTCCGCTACACTGTCTTCCTCCTTTGGCTGCGCCCGGCTGCTGCTGATTCGATGTGTCGTTCGTGGTGTTGCGTACAACCCAGATTGTAGAGAGGCAGTCACCTGTTTAGGGTAAGCCAACTGGGCGAAGAAGATGAAGTACGTCGGTTTCGTTACCTCGTTCAGGGGCTGGGCGCCAGCCGCGGGGCGCGCGCATGATAGAGTGAACGCATTATAGAGTGAACGCACGCCGGGCCCAAGGTCGTCCTTCGAGTGTAGCTGGGCCGGAGAGGCTCACCGGCGGAAGGGGAAGGGCACATGAGGCCGAAGGACCAGCGAGCACACAGCCACGGGGACTATTTCCTTTGCGGATGGGGGGAGGAGATCGGAGATCATTGGGGGCTCGCGGCCGGCGCGTCGTCCTTCCGAGCGCAGTTCGTTTTCGCGTTTTCACGCGCTGAAGTATTGGGTACAATAGGGTTGAGAGCTGTTGTTGGAGGTCAGGGTTCCACGAAGCGTCAACATCCACAAAGTAAGGCGACACATACAACGACACAATGCGTGGCCACATAAGTTTTATTTTTAGAGAAAAGGCTGCGCGTATGTACGGGCTGAGTAAACGGGTGGAGAGCCCTCTATCGTGATGGCGATGTACACACGCGCACGCCAAGTCCTCAGCCCGTTTTTGGCACTTGAGGCGCTGCGTTTTGATGTGACAATGGGCGAGAGCGTTCTAACCGCAGGAATAGACAGGAATGAACAACGACAAGTGTACCTCTCGCCCCTCCCTGCCGGCGGGGCCCTTGTTCTGCAGGCAAACACCAACAGCACAGAATGACGCGAGGAAAAAGGTCCAGGGGAACAGAGATGTGTTGAAGGCCTCGTAGTCGTTTATCCGGTCAACAAAAGGCAATGGGGAGAGCTAGAGGCACCAGCTTCCCGAGATACTTTGAAGCCCTATTGGCTTCAGAGTCTGTCACGGAATTAGTTATCACTACGTACATTCACGAAGTACCTGTGACCACGTGAACGAAGCCCCTTCCTGATTCCTGGATGTACATTGCCCTCCCGGCGGGGGGGGCGGGGGGGTGGCCGATGTGTCAGGAATTGTTTTTCACGTACGCCCTTGTCCGGAAGCCCATTAAACCTCTGCACTGAACCCATGTCCTACAGCGGGGTGCAGGTCAATGACCATGCCGGGCTCGATCGATGTATGCATTTAGTTTTGTTTGGTTAGGGTTCGCCGGGTACCGTTCACTAGAGGGAGCATGCTATGTCACGGGGCGTGGCGTACAGCACCTACCCCGTACCGGGTAAGAAAACGTAAGAATCTCTTCTTGCAATAGACTATTATCCTTGATACTCGGCGAAGGAAGCCATGGATTGCATCCCCGTGGTTGGTTGTGACTTGTTATGTCGGACTCAAATATTTCGGCCCGGGACGCGTGAATTGTTCGATACAATCAAATCTTCAGTGCCTACCCCGATTCGCTCATCAAATACTGTACATACAGTACGTACCCGTTAATTTTTTGCTGTTTTACCTTGTCTTCCGGCAGACATGGAGAAGAACCCTTAAGCTCATAGTCTACCATTTGTCCGATCACTGTTGGGTATGTGTCAGTTCGTGTCACGATTCTGCTCTGTTTTTGTAGAACACAACATTGTCACTGGTTCCAGTGATGTGAGCTGTCGGCTTGTCACGACTCTCCCACGTGGAGTATTTGTGACATGACACGAGAGATATGCGCCTGAACACTGAAAGCAAGTGTGCTCGGACCAGTGTGCGAATTGCATTTGAGACAACTAAAACGCGATCTCGCGATCGCGCACCCACTGAACAAAACCAAAAGGCTGTGCAGCCCCTCTGCAAGTGCTACATTGTGGCCTTGTGCTCCCGCGTGCGTGCTGCCCCTAAGTGCGCTTCTTCTTCTTCCTCTTCTTCTTGTCCTTCTTCAGTGGTGTATCAATCGTTGGTTGCACCCCGCCGTTCGTCATCGGCGGTGGCCACTGCGCGTCGTTTCGGCTCGCAGCTGCCAGAGAAGCTGGCGACGATGCAGGGGCGGCGGCGGAGCTGTCCGCTGGGTACGACGCGGCGGCTTCCCTCTGATTGGTAGATGTTTCGTTGCGTTCACGTACGTCCAGACCGGCCGCAGGAGGTACACATCCACGTCCACGGTGTGCCAAAAATCGCAAGCAACATGCGATGAACGCATTTCGAGCGGAGAGGTTTAGGATCACGGCGGCGTTGCGTTCAAGGATGATCGATTTTCTATTTCATTGTGTGGTGCCATGTGGTCTATCGAGAGCCAGAGGAGTATAAGCTTTTGACGCGGGGGCAGAGGTTGCACTCATACTTTGGCAAATGGTACATCTGAGGGTCGCAGTAGCCGACATCCCGGGGAGGCCGTAAAGTTTTGTGTGCTTCAAATCAGATTGTGCGGGGTGCCCTTGGCAACCTCAAGTACAGCAGGATGGGGCGACAGACAGGACAGGTGCACGTATGTTCCCCCAGGAAATCGAAGAAAAATGTATCGCCGGATCTGCGCCGAGCTCACCCGTAGGTCATACACTCACCTCCCGTGCCTGCGCCGTGAGCAGCACTAGCTCGTCGGCGTCGAATACATCACCGATGCCCATCGCCATTCTCTCGCTGCCAGCGAGAGCCCTCCCGAAGCTCGGTAGAGGCGACAGCGTCGCCTTTGCTCAGGTCCAAGCCGAACTTGGAGGCGAGGGCGTTGGCCAGGGCCCCGGACTTAACCTGCACGTTGTAGTGCGGGCAAGAGGCCTTCCACACCAACATGTCGGCGATGTCGATGTGGTTCGGGCGGCCCTGGGCCTCCGCGGCTTCCGCCGCAATTCGAGCGAAGGCCGCTGTCAGATCCTATTTTCGGGTGAGCATGGGTTAACAGGGTGAGGGTGCACGTATTATCCGTGGTGATGATTCTTCTTGATTAAAGACGTCGGGTGAACTGTATATGTGGCCTACATAACCACATACACATCCTCAATCACGCGCGTTTTCCTAACGAGTATTCGTCGTTGATGCCGTCTTCAATAAATATTCACTTCCTGAAACGTCTATTTAGCACTTCCAGCTACAACATAGACCGACCGACAGCTGATCCCGCAGACAGACAGTCAATTTCGATGGCAGGCAGTATCGTTTTGGAAACCGGTTCAGCTGTCGGTACCTCGAGGTTACCGGGTAGGGACTGCCGCGATGCAGCCACAGCCAGCAGGAATATATCAAACTCCGCTGCAGGGAGGGATCGTGCTGGGTTGCACTCTACAGGCGTTTCTCACTCGCAGGTTCAAATCTTACGGTGCTCGACGACGACACGCAAAATACTCAAAGTCTAGGCTTCTTTTTTCGGGGTCAGGGTTTCAAGCGAATGTGAATGACAGCAAGTGAAGAATGTGGCGATCGTTGTGTTGTTTCCTCGTCATTGCAGAATATTCATACATATGTATATCCTCCAAGCACTCCACTCCTTTTGTACTTTCGTATTGTGTATGCGACACATACATGTACTCGCGGAGTCCTTGATTGAAAGCTATTTCGCAGTACTTGATCGCGATGCTTGTGTTTGAGGATGGCGGCACTGCACCAAGAAATGACCCCATTTCCAAACCCCATGGTACAACTACTGCCACCACAAAAACCACCAAGAAGAGCAAGAGCATTTCCTGACGGTCACACCTAAACAACAACAACAAAAATGTCGGCAACATGAACAGAAACTAACCGTCCTATTTGCGTTGCCGTCGTTGGCCATGTCGTCCATCGCCATCCCGACAATGTAGCCCAGGCTACAGGCGGGGCGCATGATGTCTTGCGGCACGTAGGGCGGCAGCGTGGAGGGGGAGTGGTGGGGGTCTAACACGGCTTCTCGGGCGCTATCCATCATGGAAGTAAGCTGAAGTCCAACATCGAACTCCGTGGACGTGTGAAGGGTGGTTACGATGTCCTGTGACAGGTTCGATTGAACGGGAATAGGGGTAGAACAGTTGTTATTGCTATTGTTGTTCTTGTTGATGTTGTCTTCACATTAACAAGCGTTCCGGTCTCTCTTCCCAGTACCTTCTTCTGTCCTTACTAGTGTGACACTTGACGGGGTCGATTCCCGTGGTCGCAGGCTAACTTATCTCAAATATAAGGCAAACGAAAGAAAAATGGACCCGAAGGGTCCGCGAGGCAACAGAAATCAACTACAGATAGTCTAGGCCATTCCGCTCGTCGCTATACGTTATGCGGGGTAACCCTAGACTGGAAAAGAAAAGAAAAGGAAAAAAATATGAGAAAGAAAAATGAAAAAAATGAGAGCAGATGAAGAGAAGGGAAAGAGAAGGAGAAAGACAAAGGCAGTAATTAAAATAAATAACTGATGAAAACGTCACCTCTGTTGCGATACAACGTAGGCAGGATAATCTCCACGTCAATCATTTCTTTGGACGCTTATTCTGGCGGAAGCGAACACTGATTTACAGCCCAAAACCGGCTTCTTGGTGTGTACTCTTCTCACCATGTCCGGGAAGTCGTTGCGGGTGGCCCACCACACGTCGAACGCGCGAGCCACGATGGCCATCCCCCGCTTTAGCTGAAGCCCCAAGGAGTCCTCGTTGCTTCCTCCCTCTGCCCTCCCCGTCACCGAACCGGGCATGTCCTTGAGCATCTGGACGATGCTCACAGCCTGCTTGATGCCGAAGTCGTCGCGACCGTCATCGTTCTCGGAGATGCTGGTGTAGTTCCCCCAGCCCTTCTGCGTAGTCATGAGGAAGTGGAACACGGCCTCGAGTACGGCTGCAATGCCGTGGCGGGGGCGACGGTGCACGCGCAGGGGGGGGTGGTTGTCATGTAGTGCAAAACACACACGTGACGCTCGGTTCGTCTTGTGTGGCGGTGGTCATGGCGATGACACATACTTCTTTACGATGGTTTCATGTTCATACGTATTTGTGGGAAATACGACACTCAAGAAAACAAGCGTTGCCACATGATTTTGGTACCTCGTCCGGAAAGCCCTCTATAAGCTGTGTTGTTGGGTGGCAAAGAAGACATGAAAAATGTCCAATAACGTTCTTCATCAGCTCAGATGATACAATATGCCATGCACTCCTGTACTGCAGACCCTCAAACGCCATTACATATATTTCTGAAGGAAGGCGTGAGCACGACGACAAAAAATATACTGCTGTACCTGGCAGTCCTGCGGAACGTGGACCAATGCCCCACCCTCCTCGTACCCGCGAAGGAGCTTGATGATCAGTTCCCAGAGTCGTCGCGGGCTCTGGACTGCCCACAGGATAGTTACCAGAAATCAGCTGCTCTGAAAGCAGTTCCCGCAGTCGTCTACGGTGATCATCACCGACTTGTCCCTCCACGCCTTGACGTCCTCAACGGCGGGCTTGGTGTGGATGGCCATCTCCTTGTAGCCGGTCAGTCGGTTTTGCTGGTATATTACGCCAAAATGGACAAAAACGGGAAAGGAGCGCCAATAGAAAGGACTGCCCCAGTGGTAGAGACACATGACGAAGTACGCAGCAGGCGTCGAGGTCGCAAGTCGTTAACTTTGCGGTCGAGGCCAGCGTAAGAGATGCGTGGGTAACTACTGTTTGCAGCGCGAGTCACGTCGTGCATCCACCATAACATGATCTACTAGACCATCGACACCCATGGAAAACCCCATGCACGCTTCAGCCAAACCAGGACTAAAACATGTCAACATGACTCTGCCCCTACCCAACCGGACGTTCCTCGGGGTCGCAGAAGCCTCGCATATATCCGCATTGAATGTCGGCGCTTCCTTTTGCCCTGTCCCTTCCTCTGTCCTCCTGCTGTGAAGAACCGGGCGAATCATGGAAGGAACTGAACGACGGCACATTGACGATGGGGTGCCCACCTACATACCGCGGAGAAAACCGAATACCTGGTATACCCGATTAACCTTGAGAGTGCATGGACGGGACGAACACCAACAGGATTACGTCCACGCGTGGCACAAAGAATCTCAACAGCGAATGATCGGAGCACTGCCCTACCACGCACCCGCGGATTTCTGCGACAGTGCGCTCTGGGGCCGCAGCTCGTTCCGTCAAAAAGGCGAGCTGGTCGTTGCTGGCGGCGAGCTGCTGTTGCACTCCAGCCAGCTCCCCCTTCATCTGTACTGCCGCCTCCCCTTGCTCCCTGTTGTTACGGTGGGGCACGATGGAGGCGGAAAGTGAGAGGCTGTTGCGCCGGAACAATGAATCTGCAACTGGCGGCCAGCAGCGACCACAATGCCTTGTTGACGGAACGAGCTGCGGCCGCAGAGCGCACTAATGAAGAAGTATGCCGGTGCGTGGTGGAGCATTGCCCCCGATCATTCGCCGTTGAGATTCTTTGTGCCACTCATAGATAACAGCACTCCGTCGAGATTCATTGAGCCGGACCAATGAATCTCGACGGAGTGCTATTATCTATGAGTGGTACAAAGAATCTCAACGGCGAATGATCGGGGGCACTGCTGTACCACGCACCGGCGTACTTCCTCAACAGTGGGCTCTGCGGCCGCAGCTCTTTCCGTCAACAACGCATTCGACGACCGCAGTGTCGAAGTCTCTTCCTCCAGTTCGGCCACGGGCTTGATCTATGTAGACATGAGTTCCAGCAGGAGCGCGCACACACGGATGAAAAACGAACGCAAGAGGGAGTAAGAAGTGGTCATTAGCGTTGATCTTGAACATTGGATATCGATTAAGCTGGCAATGGATCACCAGATACCACAGTCGTCGATGAACGTCACCGCCTTTGTNATCCCCTCCCTTTGGTGTTTGCCATCGGGATTGGGTTTTCGTCGTTTGGCAATGACGTTGTAATACAAGCCATTTCACTTCGTGAACTCGGCAACTAGATTTACCGTTTATTTTTTACCCCTGATGTTTTTTGGCGGTAACCATGATAATGGTGGTCGAGTGGATCATAGTGTGCAGGGTCGAGAACCCACACTCCGTGCAACGGGGATGATCGCACCACGTTGTGTTAAAACAGTCAAGCATCCTCGAGGCAGTTACACGGTGCTTACAACTGTCTCTGGAAGTGAAAACACCAGAAAATATATTAAGTCATACGCAGCTGTCATCCGTACCCAACGAAGCAAGCACAAGATGCCGAAAACCCTTAGCAGGATGCAGCGCACCCTTCATGCGACTCGCCGAATATCTCACGGCGCTTCGCGCTTGGTGATGTGAGNGCGTCTCCACCTTGTTTGAGCAACGGATATCAACCATCATATTGTTGAGCGACCGTCGTCATGATTACCGCAGGCCTACGCTTTGTTGGCACATCAAAAGCGATTCACGCTCCAAGAAGGAAAATTATAATGACCCTCTTTGCCGATCGGCTATGGGGTGGCGTCATAGGTTGAAGGAAAATCCATCGCTGGTGTCCTTCGGTTACTACGTATATTTCAAATACAAAAATTTCGGTTTCAAAATGTCATGTTCAAAGACGACACATGATAATTTACTCAACACACGTATTTATCAGGGTAGCCGTAGTACTGAATAGTATGACCATACCAGAGAGAGAGAGCTTTGGTACATACCGCTTCACCAAGACCACCAAGACCACGGCGACGACGAATGCCACCGCTTCGTCTGCTCCGAGGACGTTCGAGGGAAGGGAGGACGACGAGCAGTCCTCCTCGAGCATCAAGCAGGCAACGTGCTGATGGCGCTGGGTTCTGGTGCGGCGGGCGTGATACGTCCAAGTGTGGCGAGGAGAGAAGAGGCGAGACTACCCGCGATTATCTTATACAATGAAGGCTCGCACATGTTGCATGCAACTCCCCAAGCGTTGAGCTCCTCAAGTCAACATGACCATGAGGAGCTTTTGGATGTCAATATTGCCATAGGGAGCTTTTCGGGAACGAATCGACATACAGCGCGCTGTTTTGTCTTGCATACCATCGACGGCACTCACATCTCAACCGGCGTTCGCAAGATGCTGGCGCCAACATCCTTGACCGTGGCGTCCTCACTGGCAACGGCTTGGCTATTATTCGAATCAGGGGGTATTGGGAGTATTAACACCGTCAAGGATTTGAGTGAGACCCGCCGCAACTTAATCGCAACAAAGGTAGAGTCATTTCATGATTTCGGGCAGACACCCATCAAATCCTACAACGTGGTGTAAAGCTTGACGGGTGAACATGATGCTGTTCACCTGCGGTTGCCGAAATTCCCTTCCCTATGGTTGCTCGGTCGGCAAATAATTCAAAAACACCAGCAACACCCTGGGTTCCAATTTTCAAGTTCATCTTTACACGAACACCGCATACCACCACCAACAACCTTAGCCATCGACATCAAACACTACGATGGTACTGCACAACATCAACGACAACAGCGGGGTCGACCGAAATCATCATTACCATGCAATAAACCTACCTCCTCGTCCTTCGCAACCAAACGAACGACAACACGACAAGCAGGAGGAACAACAAGCACCGCTCCTAGTAGACCCTCGCCAGCTAACCACCATCTTCCGGAGCCGCGAGTACGCTGAAGAGCTTGCTCACCATGTCCGTTGGCGCGCCTCGTTAGCTGCCGACAGGTCGGACCCTTCCCGTGTGGTGACCTCCGCAGGCCTGGAGGTGGCCGGCTGGAGACCCCCTCCGAGGAGGATAGTGCTCTCCGCGGCCACGAGGGAGAGTGCGACCGACGCCTCGTCCACCTCAGCCACGTCGTCCTCGCACGCCGCTAGCTCTTGGCGAACGGCGAGCGTGGAAGCTCGCCCCTGGGAAGCGTCGCGTCGAGAACTCTGCAGCTGGTCCTCGAGCCGACGGACAGCCAGCCCGGAGCGTTCCGCCGCGACCTCGGGAGCCCGCTGCTGCTCGTCCACGGTGGCCTGCAGAGCGTCGTTGGTGCCGTGAGCGGCGACGAAGTCGGCCCGAAGGTCGCTCTCCATCGTGCGACAACTTTCGGCGTCAGCAGCGGCCGCGGTCTCGAGGGTGGCCACCGTGCCTTCCAACCCCTCGGTGGTGTCGCGCAGGGCTTTCGCAAGCGCAGCAGCATCGTCGCTGGCGGTCGTGGCGGCGGTCCTCTCGGACGCTAGTCGGGCGGCGTCGACCACAGCGACATGCTGCAGCCCCTTCACGGTGGTGGACAGCAGAAGGACGGCCTGCTTCAGCCCAGCGACCCGGTCGAGATGGATGTCGGAGCACATCTGGCGGCACGTTACCACATATCATGGCGGGTGGAAGGGAAGAAGGGGCTTGTGAGTGTGGGGGAAAACTTCGGAACAACTGTGAAGACACCGACAACAACTACGCAGCCGGAATGCGAGCGATGGATATTCCTGTGATTCCACGGAGCGACACACTGCTTGGCGAAAAAGTAAAGCCTGCGATGTTCTTGACGGTTGCCATGCGTCACGGGTTGGGGTTGATTGTTGGTTTGTCTATTGGGGGGGGGTGGGGCGTTTACTGAAGGAAGGACACGTACACATCACGACGGTTTCACGGTACCATGTTCGTTACTCCGAGTGTGCACTACAGCGAGCGGTGACATTGTAACACACATAACCACGATGGGGTGTACCGTAAAGCGAAATGTTGTCTTAGGCTATTTTTGTGTTGCCTTTGTAAAATAATAGCAGTTCACGAGAACTGCCGGAGACATCTATAGCGCACTCAACAATCCATCACTCTAGTGGATGGACAACATAGGACTTACCCTCGTGACGCGAGCAACCTCGGCCGCCGTAGACATTAGTCGTCGGAGAAGTCTCCTGAAAACAAATTCCAGAAACAACAGCGCGTCCTTCATACATGGCGGCTAAGTAGGAATGCACATCGTGTTGTACGAAACAGCTCGATCTACGTAACCTCCGCCATGATGGAAATGATGGACAAACGGCACACCACGAACGTGCAGCCCGGTGCAACCCGGTAATGCCGTACCGGGAAATCTAATACTCCAGGTACATGTAGTGTTCACAGCAGCAAGTTCCTCAGTCACGCATGCTCCATCTACTGCACATGGCACCGAGCACATAGACTCACGGTATATCACAATCCCACCGAGCTATGCAGCTATTGCTCCTGACGTTGACTCCGATGGCGGGAGGGGGGGATGATGTACTGTAGCCCCCCCCGTCCGACCTTGGAAAACAGCACGATTTAATATTCAATCATGGACTTTGATAGTCGGAGGAGTGACCAAACAGAAGGAAGGGTTAAATTCTACGATCGCTTCCTTTCGAACAGGTATGCATACAGCAAATAACAATATGACACACGTTCCTCTCACCTCATGAGCGCAATGCCCGCCTGCTGGCTGTCGTACTTCGCCAACGCCGCGATGGCCTCCTCCAGCTTCCCGCTGCGGAAGCCCTTGATCATCGCTACCTCCGCGAGGGAGCGAAGAAGGTCCACGTCTACTTCTTCGGTGGCCTTCATGGCCTGCGTCACCTCACGCGACCACCGCTTCTGGGCCTGGACAACGAAAGAACAACAATTCAAATTTCAAATTACGAACGAGGCGG